TGAAGATATATTTATAAAGAAAAGGAATAAAGTTTACTTTAAAGTTTTTTTTATAGTCTGCTTGCGACTTGTTATAAGAAAATGAAGTATTTTGTATTAATCTTAAATTTCTAACTTATTTAGATTAATATCACAATGATTAACGAGAAAATAAAAATAAAAAATTAAGTAAGAACTGCTTCAGCGAAGTTATTTTCAAGTAGTTTGATGGGCCGATTGTAAAATCTTGCAAATGTCGATGAGTTTCTCGACCATCCGCAGCAGTGTCCTTGATCATATTGATATCGATACCCTTAGATAACGCTTTGGATGTGGAAGCGTGTCTCGTGCTTTGGCCCTTAAAGATGTCCTCGACTCCTGCTTCTTTTAATACTTCCTTCAACCAACGACTAATCGTTTGTTGTTCGTAGTTTTGATGTAGTGAAGGACAGTCCTGGCTATACAAAGTTCTTTGTTGTTAAAAAACGAAAAATATGCATAAGGTTGTTTCGTACCAGCTCTAGAAGTCTTAATAAAATCAGATATTCTGATTTCTATTCCTGCATTTATATTTTTTATATTCTGAATCTTTATTAAAGATAGGGACTGTACTCGAAATGCTGAGCCAAGTGCTAACAGCATTGTTACTTTTAATGTTAATTTTCTTAAATCCAGAGATTCTGTTGGTCCCCAACTTCTTAACAACTTTAAAACTGTTTCAGCATCCCAAATTGAATCATATCTAGGCGCTGGGGGTTTTAATCTATAAACACCCTTAAAAAATCTTTTTAGAAGAACACTTTCTGAGATTTCTTTATAATTTATAAAAGCAATCGCCGATCTCATGGTATTTAACGTACCATACGCTGCACCCTGAGAAAATTTCTTTGTCAAGCAACTTAAAATCTGCTTCTCATTTGCCCTATAGGGGTCAAAGTTGTTACTCTGGCAAAAACTCCACCAGTATTTTAACGAGCTGTCGTATTGTTTGGCCGTAGTTTTTGCTATGGATGCTAGCATGATTTCAATTATATCATTCTCCAGGTTCTTTTCCTGGATCGCTTGCCGGAAACAATTCCACATACCAGGGTAAGCTTCTGTGACAGCGGATGTATGATTGATCTACAAGGTGATAATAACAGATTAGTTGAGGGTGTAAATGTTATTTAATCTGAAACTAAAAGTTGTTTTAAAACAGGATACCAGGGCTGACCAGTCCATAATGGGACAACTAAAATACCCGTGGATTCATCTTCTCTAATTTTCTTTAAAATTCTTGAAATTAAGGAAAAAGGTGGGAAAGCATACTAGAAAAATTCTTTCCAACTTATGGTTAGAGCATTAATTACGAATGCATCTGGGTCTCTTTCCCAAGAGCAATACCTATCACATTTAGAATTGATACGTAAGCGAATAGATCTATAACGGGCTTGCCTAGATTCGTGATAATTTTTTGAAAAGCGAAATCCGCTAATTCCCACTCCGTATCTACATTGTTAATCCTAGATCCTTCGTCGGCTGGATTTTCCTTCGACGCTACGTATTCCGCAAACAACCACAAATTTCTGGGAATACACCATTCCCAAATTTGTTTCGCGATCATATTTAAAGAACTATGTCTAGTACCCCCCATTTTATTAATGTAAGCTAAGGCCGTTACGTTATCAATCGTAAGTAAGATCTGTTTATTATTAGTAGACGAGGCGAAGGATTTTAGTGCTAAAAATTCCGCCATGAGTTCTAATAAATTAATTGGATATTTTCTCTCTGTTAGGCCGCAGTCCCATGGCAGCGTTTTGCGTTGCGTTGTAATGAGAGAGAATACAGCAAACACAATACACTGTAACATGTGTACGCCACCATGTTAATTCATCTCTTGCAGCTGGAGACAAGATTGTGACTGCATTTTGATTATAATTATTTAAAATCAAAGCGTCAGTTTTTTCTTTTTCTAAAGCTTTATAATAAAGCCAACCGTATGCGATCGCGGGACATGCTGCCACTAAGGTGCCTATACACTCTTCTAGAGTCTGTATTTTGATTTCTTTCTGTTTTAACATTTTATCCAACATATTCGAGATTTTTATTCGCTTATCTGTAGGTAACTCGATTGTCATCTCTACAGAGTTGATAACCATTCCTAAAAATTTACAGGTTTTTTTAGGGATTAGATCACTTTTATTGTAATTTATTATAAATCGTAAGGATACTAGCAAATCAATGGCTAACTTTAAATTGTGTGAGCATTCCTCTACCGACCGACCGAAAATAAGGTAATCGTCAAGATATACTGTTAATCTAATTCCTCTACTTCTCAACCAATTTACAATTGGTTTGCTAATTTTCGTAAAGACGAAAGGGGCTGACGAAAGTCTAAAGGGTAGAGAATTAAACTGAAAAATTTTACCTCTGTACCTGAATCTCAGATATTTTTTATCATTCTTATCTATTGGCACTAAAAGATAAGCGTCTGTTAAGTCTAACCTACAAAGAAAGTCATTATTTTCTAAAAAATTTAAGGCGCAGTTCTTAAATCTTCTATTTTAAAATGCTCGTGATTTATAAAAAAGTTAAACTTTTTTAAGTTTAAAATAAACCTAAAGGAACCATCTGGTTTTTGAACTAAAAAATAAGAAGATAGAAATTTATCTTTCTTTTCAGTACCTATTTGAATTGCCCCTATTTTGAAAAGTCTGTCAATAGCAGTGTCCATATGGTAGACACACTATTGAATGTAGGAATTGAAATGCAAGAAGAGTGTAAAGGACTGGATATTAATAAATCGTTAAAATGTATATATGTCTATCAAAGGTGTAAATTAAAAATCTTAAACGATGACATGTGCATGGGCTTCATTGCTTTAGATGCTTTGATTACCGAGTGCTCTAATTTGTAGAAAACTATATAATTTTTTCATGCAATTTGGAAAGTGTTGGAATATTGTATATTCGCGCCTAATATCTCGCTTGAGTCTAACAGTAGTTGATTCTACGTCACTTCCGTGTGCGCACGCACTCCTTCTTCTTCTCGATATCGCTTCGACCGTGAACATCTCGATCGTCAACGAGCTCTTAATAAACGACCGATTTCATCCGTATTTGTGTACTATTATTGACTACATCCTGCTCTAAATAATCTGCATGCCAACAGGTTATGGGCCCAGGCATGATTCAACTGCGCTGGATGTATTTTTTGGTAAAATTAACGAAAAGTCGGTTCGTCGCGTACGGCGTGCTCGCGGCGTGCATGGACTTGTCGCGCGGAAGCCATTGTGATACAGTGTATGCTCAGGACTATAAAAAGTGTTCTAACGATTGGAAACAAAGTGTTTAAGACAGAAAGGATTTTTCAAAAAGGCCCTTTAAAGAAAAAAATATGTTACCGAACGAATGATTTTTGCTACGACACGAGACGACTGTGGCTAAAGCATTTTGTTTACGAAGGAGAATGAAAATTCCAGAAAACTAATTTCTTCGACGACTGTTAACGAAAGGAATTTGGATTAAAATAAAAAAAAATATATATATATATATATAACGATAGTGTCTACGGAGGTAATAAAAATAAAGAATAGTTTGACAAAGGAAAATGGGTATCAACTTAAAAACCAAGTGAAAATCAAAAGCGAATTTTTGACCGTAACATACACTGAAAGGTAAAAAACGATTATTTAAGTAAGTAAAACGTTTTACATCTAACTTGCAAGTTTTTACACAAATTACACGATTTACACATTTGCATGCATAACATTATTTTGAAATGTTTAAACAGATCTGTTATTGAACGATTAATGGATATGAAAAAATGACACAATTTTTATTTTCAGAATCATATAAATATGAACGTTTTGGTGTTGAATTATACAGGAAATGACTGTTTTAATATTAAAATTAATATATGGTTAAACTCTGGTTAATGACTGTTTTAATGAGGAATGTTTTGTGGATAAATCAAATGACAATATTCTATCCTCAAATTAAACGATATGTGAAAAAGTCTATTTTTAACGATTGCAAGAGTTAACCTAAAAAAAAAAATTCAACCTAATAGTAATATATTAATTCCCTACTGAAAAAGAACGACTGTAAATACGAGCGTAAATATGACTGTGAATACGACCCTAAATACGGGCCTTAGAAGGGTAGTGCAATTGAAACAGCAAATACAGCCGTATTTATGCCCGTATTTAGGGTCGTATTTACGGTCATATGTGAATACCATTTTAAAAAAAAAATATATATACCCCCACAGCACCGAAACTTTCCTAACAATTTATTGAATATTTACTTGTAATATTCGGCATATTTAACTGAAATGTTTAGTGAAAATTGTTCTTTACACAACTTTCAATAAACATTGCAATTACATATTCCGAACATTGCAAGTAAATATTTAATAAATTTTTAGGAAAGTTTCGGTGCTGTGGGGATATATATATATAATGGAACATTATTAATTATTATTAATTTAATATATTAAATATAATATTGCAACTAAAATAAATAATATTTAAGGTAAGTATTGAAATACGATTTATTCTTATAATAAATGCATAACAAACAAACAAATATATAAATGTCACTTTATTTTAATCACAAACACACATATACACATGGTACAATTATTTATTAAAAATTGTAATTTTTATTATTTTTATTATAAGAGAAAAAACACAAAAACACAAACGCACAATAAAAACACTTGTAGATTTTTCAACAGCTAAATAAAAACGACAAATAACGCGAATCACATGTAACTGTAAGAATTTTTTTATTATTTTTATTATAAGAGAAAAAACGCAAAAACACAAAAACACAAACGCACAATAAAAACACTTGTAGATTTTTCAACAGCTAAATAAAAACGACAAATAACTCCAATCACATGTAACTGTAAGCACTGTTGTAAAAAAGGTTGGGTCTATACCCAGATAACAATAGTGCGTCGCACATAAGTGTCACGAAATGAGTTTCATTTTGTGCATGCATAAAATCTGCTTAAATACATGAAAATAAACTACACATGACTAGCACGATATGCGTCTCATTTTCTGCGTGCGAAAATTATGTTTAATGCCATTTTTTAATGCGAGTACATTGTCGCACGATGGTTGCACGTATGTGATGGTAATGCGAGGCATTTTGTGTGTTCGAAAGAGCACCTTAAAGTTTTACATTACGTGACTTACGACAATTTGCGTTTTGTGCGTGAAAAAGTGCACCTTTAATGAGCGTTCTTTACACTATTGGGACTATTCACCCATTATCGATCTAGCTGTCGATGTATCAACACGTCCTCGTGGTCGTTGTTGTTATTTAGTTTGGTGATAGTGGTGTTAACTGAATATTTGGATTACAAGAAGTTTGTCAAAAAGGTAAGTACTACAACAAAATAATACATTTTTGTCCTTTAAATTTTAATTAGTAAAAATATTGTTGTAAAATTTTTTATTTTTTACTGTGTACCAAGAAGTTTAATACAAAACCTTCAAAAGATTTTTCTAGTTTACGAAAACATTCAATTATTTTCATCGCTTAATTTCAAATACTTTTAATGCAATATTAAATAAATTCCTCGAAAAATACAATCAATTTTAAGAAACATTAAATTATTCAATAAAATTAGTTGCAATAATTCAATTAGCTTGATAAACAACTAAATTTCTTCCCATAAAATCAACTACTCTAAGGAATTTTAATAAAATTTTTTCCAAAATTCAATTATTTTTATAAATATCAATATTCATCACAAGAATTTAATTCTTAAGAAAAATAATAAAATACTTTGCAGAAATCAAACTATTTTCAAAATTATATTAAAAATTCTTGTCAAGAATTAAATTATTGTCAAAAATTTTAATAAAATTGAATCCAATTCAGGGTGTCTACTAACTAATTCCGGGAAAAATTTAAATTAAAAGCGGGAAAGCAGTTAATGACTGACGAACTTGTCAGTCAATTTTCCTGGCCCGGAAGCAAAAAAAGTGAGAAATTCGGAGACACTAAGATTTCCAATCTTCTGTTCGGTAAGTTTAACTTTTAATAGAGATTCATTATTTGATCTACTTAATGGATTGATTTTGCAATATTACATAAATTTTTTGTAGAATCTAGGAAAAATTAATTACTATGTTTATCATTAAAAAATACGTAAACTAAAATTTGTTCTTTAACATTAATTAAGTAGGTATATTTTAATGTTTTTATAATTGAATGTATTAATCTTCATATTCTTTCATTAATTCTGTCCGCAGTTAGAAGTTACTTTTTCTGTATGCTTTTGTTTTTTTTTCTTTAAAAAATATTATTTGACAAATCGAAAATATGCGGGTATTTTTTCATGACTTATAATAAAATATTACAAATTAGAAATTTTTTGAAAAATTATGCACGGAGAAAAATGGATAGTTAAAAGTAGATATTTAAAAAATATATAATCAAATTTATTATCTGTATAGTTAGAAATATTATCTTCCTGAAATATTATATATTCCCGTTTAGTATATCTAGATAATCAAATTTATTATCCTGGATAGTCAACTTGCCGAGCGCTTGCGCAGAAGTTTGATTACCGATTATTGATTACAACCGTTTTCGAACGAGTTTTTCTCTGCACACAGGCACTTTTTACAAAATCTGACAACGTACATTTGTCACAAATGTTTTTAATTGTCTGAATTCAAAAGATTTTGTCAATCCATGCAGAAACGCGGTTGCAGGATTGGAAATAAAAAAGTAATGTAATGGCAGGCCACAAGACGTATGTTACAGCCATTTTGACAGTAGAGGGCAGAAGCATGCAGGGAGTGTAAAGGCTCAGCTGTCAAAATGATTCGCATTACATTGCTACGGTAATTCCAATGCTGCAACCACGTTTCTGCATGGATTGACAAAATCTTTTGAATTCAGACAATTAAAAACATTTGTGACAAATGTACGTTGTCAGATTTTGTAAAAAGTGCCTGTGAACAGAGGGAAATTTGTTAAAAAAAGAATGTTTACCAATTACACGTCATTTAAACCTGTCAGTGCCGTATTTGTTGGGTGATAACTGTTGGTCGCACACGTCGCACATTATCGAGAAATTTGAGAGACCATCGAACACCGTTAAGTAGTTTTATATTATTCGAAATTTAAAAACATTGTCAAATTTTTTTATACTGAATTTCAGATATAATATTGCTTAAAAAATATATAAAACTTACGATTAGCAACATAACCTTTAAACCTGTCAAAAGGATTTAAACATTTCAAGGGTACCGTTAAATTAATGTATTTTGTTCTGTAAAATTTTCAGATTTTCCATAAAAAATTATTTATCTAGGAAAAATATTCACTAATTTCTTAAAAAATTAACTTTTATCATTAAATATTTTTTATTGATCAATTTAGATGTATATAAACACAGCAACTTGCGTTTATTATCTAGGATAGTCAAAGTAAACATCTTGGATAATGTCAGTTAGTATGTAAGTTTGATTATCCCAAGATACTAAATTTAACTATCTAGATGGTTGTCCTATAGTTGAGTATCCAAGATCGTCACCCTGATTATCTAGATAGTAAATTTAACTATCCATTTTTCTCCGTGTGATAAAAAATATACCCATTTTGTTTGTTGTATGCTTTCTTATATAACAAATTTCGTTTGACTCATCTAAATTATTATGCAAATTATTCTCCTTTTTATTTTTAAAAAATGCTAAAAAATTATTCATTGTTAAAAAATTTTGATTAAAAAGTAGGAAATATACCCATTTTATGCATAATTTTTATCTCTCAATAACAATATTGTTTACAAAATGATTTTTTTTCTTTTGTTAAGAAAAACATTAGATATTCCCGTTTCTTAATATTTTTGTAGAAAATTCTTACTTTCATAAGGAAATAATTTGCATCAATTTTATTTAATAGTTTTAATTGTTTTAAGTTTTAATAAAATTTAAAGTTTTTAAAAATGAAGGAAAAAATATTTATGAAATAGAGTTGTCAATTAGAAAATTTAATTGAAAAAGAAACTGAAAATTTTTTTAATTTTTAGAAAAGAAAGAAAAAATTTTATTGAAAGAAATGTTCGAAAACAATAATTTCTTTTTTAAATATTTAATTATTATTATTTTCACATAGGAATTAAGATAGGTGTGCAATATTCGAATCGAGAGAAAATTCTATTCGAACTTGACAATTCGAAATTCGAATTGCGCAACATACAGCATACACATTATAGCACATTAATTCGATATTCGTCTAACTTGGATTTTCGAATTGGCCGACTTGATTCGAAAATCGAGTAGAGTCGAGTAATTCGAAAGTCGAAACTTCGATTTTCTAATTGTCCGATTCGAATCGAAAGTAGACCGAGTCGAGTTGTGCAATTCGAAACGACGATTTTCGAATTATCTCCGATTCGAATTTTCTGTTGTCGAGTCGATTAATGTTCGGTTCAACTCAATTAAATGCCTACCTCTAAATTAAGATTTTCAAAAATTTCAAATTCAAAGATTTTTGAAATTAATCAACTTTAAAAATGTTGTTATAAAACATACAGATAGCTATTACTCCGAGTTGTCGACTCGGAGTGATCGATTTCTTCATGTTTTCTAATATAATTAAAGATGATCGAGAGATAAAATCATTATTTTATATTATAAGAATAAGAATATTGTTACTGTAACTTCATCAAAATTATTTTTATATTCTATTATTATTTAAAAATTAAACTAAAATTTATTTTCAAATCAATTTTTATTAGAAAATTCTACGAGAATTAATTGAAGTTTTTAAAATAGTTACATTTTCCAAGGAATTCGATTAAAATTGAAATTCTACAACGCTCTAATACTTTTAATATTCAATTATTATTTAAAATTTTAAATAAAAATTTATTTTAAAATCAAGTTTTACTAGAAAATCCTACGAAAATTCAATTATTTAAATACAAAAAAAAATTAAAAATAATGAAATTTCAGTAAAATTTTTATTATTTATGAGAATAACTGAATGTTTGCGTATAATTTTATTAAAATAGTAGATATTGAAAATTTTTTAAATAATTGAAAATTTGACACGAATTTGATTAAATTTTTTGAAAATAATTGAATTTTGAAGAATTATTTAATTTATAAATAAAGATAATAAATAGTATTTTGTCGAGATATTCTTGTAAATTTTAAACATAATTGAATTTTGTGATAAGAATTTTATTACCTTTGAAAATAATTGAGTTTCTGCAATCATTTGTAACTTCTTAAAAATTAAAATTTTAGATCTTAATTGTAACTTAATCATTTAATTGTTTTTTCAGAATCAGCGAGACAGTGTACTTTTTTTGCTGGGCCTCACAGTATTTCTGAATTTAAAAACGAGATGCTCGAAGTGCTCCGAATTACCAAACAAAGATACAGGAATAGGAATAATAACAAGAAACAAGAAGAAAATTTTGAAGAAATGGATTCGGAGGATATATTAGAAGAAATTAAGCGGTTACAGGAATTGGATCATGTCAATGATGTAGATGATATTTCTGCAAATGACGGTGACGACGAGATAGTCTCTGATGACACAGTATAATGTGAGTTCCCAAAATTTGGTTGGTACAAATTTTTAAAATTGTACCCTTATTTTAAAAAAAATTGTTTTATTTAATTTGTAAAATTCGTCATCTAGTGATGACAGTTATAATTGTTTGATAGTCTCTGACGACACAGTATAATGTGAGTTCCCAAAATTTGGTTGGTACAAATTTTTAAAATTGTACCCTTACACTAAAAAAAAGTTCATTGAATCAAGCAAATGCATTTTCTTGACCTGATTTATTTGAAACAAACCCATATTTTCTTATTGGAAGAAATTTATTTTCTTGTGTCAAGTAATTTTGAGCATTGATCAAAGTTATTGAAATAAGAAAATATGGGTTTGACATAAGTAAATATCTTACTGTTTCAAACGAACTGTTTTACATGCGCCAAGTCTCGAAAAAGTATTGAATCAAGAATATCATGTTCTCACGTCAAGTAATTTACCTTGAGTTATTTGGTATCTTGAGTCAAATAATTTTTTTATTTCCTTTAAAGCAACTATTTATTTCATTCAACACCCATAGTCTTGAGCCAAGAAAATGGGAAGATTAATACAAGTTAATAATTGTTTCAACTCAATTAAAAATTATTTTGTTTCAAAAAAATATTAATTAATCTAAGCATTTCTTTTACTTGAAGCATTTCTATATTCTCATGTTTCAAAATCATTAATTTCTTGCGAGAATGTTATATTTTCTGGAATGAAATATTTTATTTATTCAATTCAATTAAGTGTAAGATCTTGAATTAAATCATTCTTTTGTTTCCTTTAAAAAAGTTTTTACTTAATTCAACGCTCATATAATCCTGATTCCAGAAAATACGAAGTTTAATATAAGTAAATATTTGTTTCAAGTTGATTAAAAATTATATTCAATTAATCCCATATTTATTTGAAGAAAGAAATTCATTTTCTTGTGTCAAGTAATTATTAGCATTGAACAGAATTCTTGAATTAACAATTTAGTATTTGGCAGAACTCAATATGTAATTATTTCAACCAAATATTTTACTTTTCCGAAGTACCAAAAAGTATTGAATCTAGAATATCATGTTCTTAAGCGAAATAATAAAGTATTGTGTGGAGAATTCATGTTTCTTGAATCGAATCATTTTATTTATTTGCTTTGAAACTTTTTTTACTTAACACAATGCCAGTGTTCTTGATCCAAGAAAATATTTTTCTTCAAATGTATATGCAACTTAAATATCAGTTTTTGAAAACTGTCCATAAGGCTAACGCAGAATAGATCTGTAACCGGAACCGCAATCGTAACCGTAAGCGTAAGAATGAGTTAGAGAAGGATAAACAATATACCTATCCTTCTTTAACTCATTCTTACGGTTACGCTTACGATTGCGGTTCCGGTTACAGATCTATTCTGCGTTGGCCTTTACAGTTACATGTGATTGGAGTTATTTGTCGTTTTTATTTAGCTGTTGAAAAATCTACAAGTGTTTTTATTGTGCGTTTGTGTTTTTGTGTTTTTGCGTTTTTTCTCTTATAATAAAAATAATAAAAAAATTCTTACAGTTACATGTGATTCGCGTTATTTGTCGTTTTTATTTAGCTGTTGAAAAATCTACAAGTGTTTTTATTGTGCGTTTGTGTTTTTGTGTTTTTTCTCTTATAATAAAAATAATAAAAATTACAATTTTTAATAAATAATTGTACCATGTGTATATGTGTGTTTGTGATTAAAATAAAGTGACATTTATATATTTGTTTGTTTGTTATGCATTTATTATAAGAATAAATCGTATTTCAATACTTACCTTAAATATTATTTATTTTAGTTGCAATATTATATTTAATATATTAAATTAATAATAATTAATAATGTTCCATTATATATATATATCCCCACAGCACCGAAACTTTCCTAAAAATTTATTAAATATTTACTTGCAATGTTCGGAATATGTAATTGCAATGTTTATTGAAAGTTGTGTAAAGAACAATTTTCACTAAACATTTCAGTTAAATATGCCGAATATTACAAGTAAATATTCAATAAATTGTTAGGAAAGTTTCGGTGCTGTGGGGGTATATATATTTTTTTTTTAAAAATGGTATTCACATATGACCGTAAATACGACCCTAAATACGGGCATAAATACGGCTGTATTTGCTGTTTCAATTACACTACCCTTCTAAGGCCCGTATTTAGGGTCGTATTCACAGTCATATTTACGCTCGTATTTACAGTGCACAAATAATTTTGAGATCAAATAATATACATGTATACAAAACGATGTTTTAGTTAGAAAATATTACGACTGTTCGACTGTGTTAAAAATTCTTTTGTATAGAAAAGAATTAAAATGTGACAGAATACACATTTAACGACTATACATTTTAATAAATGTATGTTTCTATATTCTATTAATTTTATTATAACTATATAGTTTATCAAAAAGTACTTTATGAATAAATATTTGAGTATTTATTTAATTTATTATTTGACGTCGTTAAAAATAAAACGCTACAACGAACGAAGGACCAGATTCAAACTAGAGGTTATTTTTTAACGAAAAGTTTTGTTTTCTTTAGAATGACAGTATTTAATGACGATGTGTTATTATAAACTATTTATATTTCATTTATAAAATTTTAAGACACATGAAACCGTTTTTCTGGGTTGTTTCTTTTTGGACGGAGTTGTGTTCATTCCCAATAAACTGAAACAACTAGGTTTGTTTTTCGTAACAATCGATAGTAACGAGGGTTGGAAAAACGAATCAGTTCCAAATCATTTTAGCATGTGTTCTGTTTTAATGGTTTAGGAGCAGACAATTTTAAAGCACGAAAAATATTAAATGACAGTTTTTCTAGTTTTTGACAAACAACGAATGTTTATTTTGAAATATAATTAACAATTTGTTTTTAAGGTACCATTCACTTGAACAGCGAATTGGACATTACAAAACGAATAGATAAGTGTGGAAAAAGGGTCAAATCCAGTTGGCGGCGACGTCCATTAGCGTTGGGAATTTAAAACCCAGTGGATCATACCACAAATAATAAGTCTGAATATGCGAGAAGGTTGACAAAAAATTTATTTTCTGATTCAATCAAGGAAACAAATTGTTTCGATAATTCAGAATTTTATAAATGACTTTATAATTTCTACAGGTGATAAACGATTGGTAAACGAATAGAAAACGTATTGTTTACGACAGTATGCGCATAACGACTGTGTATACGATTTATTAATATCTAACGACTGTACGAGGGGGTTGTCGACAACATAAATTTAAATAACTGTTTTATATAAACTTTTTAATTTGTCTGGTAAATGTGTCACCAGAAGAAAGTAGAGGTCCTAGAAGCAGCTACTACGAAGAAAATTGATTAACGAAATGATTGATATTTTGATCTCTCAGAACGAAACTGAGACAATTAGTAACGACTGTAATTCATAGACAACACTGTCAAAGACGGTTATAACAATAAATTATAAAACGACATGTGTTATAACGACAGTAGAGACGATTGTCAATTAAATTATAATAATAAAAATTAATAATTTTTATAAATTAAACAATGTTATATAATAGGAAGACAGTAAATACGAAAGTTAATATGATGACAGTAAATAATAAAGAAAAATTAAAAAACGAATGTTCATAATTTAAATGATATGCAATATAAATTTATAAAAAACGAAAGTATTGTTAATAAAGACAATGGTGATCACGATGAGATGAAAGGCAGTATTGACGATCAATCAGAGACGAAAAAGGAGGTAAATCAGGCAATAACGAAAGGATATTTGTTAATTTTTAATAATAAATGACAGTTTGAATATAAACGATAGTGCTGACTCCAATTAACTGAATCTTACCCCCTTTTTTTATATGACCTTGACGATGCATAACAAAAATAAAACTACAGATTCAGCAACGAATGAACGATGATGAATAGCTAAAGCGACTTAGAATTATAGATAAATCTATTTGTTCAGTACTCTTAGATAATGACTGTTCCTTTAATTCAGACGAAATGTAAAAAACAAATAAATTTAAAAAAGTACATAAATAAACGAATTGTTAACGAAAAATTAAACGACAACTACTAATAATATCTTTAAACCAAATGACTGATCTTTCCATGAATTCGCTTCAGAAAAAAAACTTAAAATAAATTTCTATTAGCGAAATAGTAACGACAGTATAGTATTAATTATTTAATAATTATTAATAATGGTTTCAATAAATTATAATTATTTTATAATTTAATAATTAATTTAATTGTTAATGAATAAATAATTGAACTTTAAATTAACCTATAACCTTATGTGTATTTTTACGAGTTGTTAGCGGATAAATTACAGACGATAGATTTGTTTTATATTTTAAATACGATGACAGTTATTTCCTTAAAATTCTTTTTAACAATAAATAAAAAAACGAACTTAAATTGCAAGAAATTCTCATAAATGGAATAAGTATAGTTCATTGTATGACAATTTTCTATACTTACGATAAAAACGAAACATTAAGTAAACTAAACAAACGATGCGAAATAAAATTTAACGAGTGTAACTAAAACAAATTTAATTAATTAAATATGATACGAAATGAGATTCTATAAATTTTCTTTTTGATCGACGTGAGAAACTTATTTCTAATAATAAAAACAAAAAATAACGAGAGGAAAAGAAAAACAATTCTTGTTTTAAAAGGTTTAAATAATGAAAAACAGACGATACTTTTTTTAATTTAATAACGAATAAAGTATTAATTGTTTTTAAAATTCTATTGTTTTGGACCAAAACAAATCGAATACTGTCAGTTTACAAAAATCCTTTGGATTTTAAAGTGATAGTAATTATTTTAAATTACACCGAAAAAAATCTCAATGGTATTATTAACTATGACCCTATAGTTAATCTTAATCTAGTAAAAGTAATAAGGATTCCTAATCATTATGGTTAGGATCGCTAGGTTGATTCAACAAATTCAAGCCTGGCAAAAACAACCCTGCAAATCTTAGTCAAATTGACTAGGATTTTAGTAATTTTGACTATTTCCATAATGCGCACGCGTCTGCTTCTGTTCTGACAGTGTTTACCTCTATATCTTTCGCGTCATTTATCGTGATTTCGTAAAACGATTTTTTATCATTACTCGCGTCTATTTTTTGTACATAAAATGGAGTTCTTACATACATCAAAATTGCTGGTTTCTCGGAACCTCTGGAAATATAGATAGTCCATGTTTTGGAAAGTAAACTATTTAATTATATTAGTCAATTCTTTCAGATTTTTTTTGGTTAGGTTTCAATATAAATCGTCGAAATTTTTACGCACGTGGTGACAACATTTTTAATATTTTAATCGCGCAGTGTGTTTGAAAATTTACCTTTGCAATAATTTGTGTATTTAAATTTATTTCCATTTAAATGGCATAAATAATTAAAAATAAATAGTTTTTGACAAGTGTATAAAATTGTGTACTCGAAATGTATAAAACATCATCTGATTAAGTATTGTATTTTGACTCGAAAATCTAGTGTCTATTAAAAAATTGAAATACCAAGTCGTGTTTAGTGTAGTGGTTATCGTTCCGGGTTTCAAAGTGCGTATTCGTTAGGTTCAGGTGCTCGCGTCCCCCCTGCGTCAAATATTTATTTCATAAGTTTAAATTAATTCTAAAGTATATAAATACAAAGTCAAATATAAATATGTTTAATAAAATAATTAATTATTTTTTTTAATTATATTTACTTTTTCTCTTTTATTGGATAATAAGAATTTGATTAAGAATTTCAAATAATTATGATACACAGTGTAAATCTAATATTATTATCCTAGTCATTTTGACTATTTTTTTCTGATTGCATCGACTAATTTTCCTGGTCCCTTTAACTATGCTTGAATTTTATTTCTTTGACTAGGATTCTATAGTTGGCTCCTCTCGTAACTAAGAAACCTAGTCAATTCCTGGTATACGGGTCCTAGGCATTTTTTTCGGTGTACTTGAAACTTAAACAAAACGAAATGTTCAAATAAACGATATAAGTCACAAAAAAACGATTGCTCTTAAAAGAATCAAGAATTCAAAAACAATATTTTTACGAATGTCAAAACTACTTTTTATAAGATTGCCATCAGTCTATGACCACTGTCGCTCATTAAAAAATTATAATTAAAAAATAAAACGTTAGGAAAACAAAGAGGTATTACCGGTAAGAGTTTAGTCAGCTCAAATAAGAAGCCTAAGTGTTACTGATTCAGCCAATAATGAAAGACAGTTTTCAAAATTAAATATTATGACAAAAATTTTAATTTTGATCTATTTGAATGATCTTGTAATAATATTATGGTAAACACTTTTACAAAAAAAAGTAACGACAGTCAACTATTAAAACAATTTGATTATAAAATGACAGTTTAAAAACTCAACAACGAAAGACACAAACAAGTACGAATGGAGAACTAAAAATTGATTTCACAGAACATCGGAACCGAAATGTAAATATGTTAAATCAAATCATTATTCCGTCAATGCCTAATAATATTTTCACCTTGGTAGAAAAATATGATTCACCTAATTATTTCTTCAACTATAAGAAAGTCCGATTATAAATGCAGCACTGTCACTGCAATACTTTTAATATCACTTGAAAACATTTCACCCTGATAAATACTAAATAAATTACTCGCACCACTACTGAGAAAAATTGAATTTATCGATAAGCAAATAATTGGTATCCACCCTAAGTAAGTGAAATTATAAAGACTTTTTTCTATTTGAAAATAAACACCAATTATCACTAGTGAAATTGTTGATATAATACCGGAAAATATTAAAATTGTTCGACGATTTATTTTTTCGATTATATTTATACCGACTAGACATGTTAAAGTATTGAGTAGTGACCATAAAATCATTGCCTTCTTTGGATCCATTGGTGTTGTTTTGTAACTTAAAATTTGTTGTCCATAGACACCGATTATTGTCTGTCCTGATAGGATGTTTAATAAACCAGTCGATATGACAATTATCATTGCTTTTCTATTCGTTGGATTTGAAAATAATTTCCATATTCTTGTTTCACTAATTTTTTCACTAAACGAATTTTTATTTGATAATTTCTTATTTTCTGTTTTTGGTAATTCGATTTTGTCGTTGTCTAATTTTGAATTTTCAAAGTCCCCTGTTTGTGGATTCAAAGTTTTAACTGTTTTTGAACATTTATTATCACTCTTTTGATTGATTTCGATAAAATATGATGAATCGGGCATAAAGAGGAATATGATGATAAAAAGAATTGGTAGCAGCAATAGAATGTAATTCATTTGTTGATAATTCAAGTAGGCACCTAGAATAATTGTGAGAGTACCACCGATGCCTCTTGATAAACGAATAAGAAGCAAAAATATTCCACGATTATTTTTGTTGCTCACTTCAACCACGTAGAGAATCATTGTACAGAGGCCGGCTCCATAGGCAATACCGCCGATAAGTCGTGCACAATAAAGTGATATATAATTTTTGGCTAATATTATTAATAGCCAGGAAATTAATTGCGGTGCTGAGAGCATTATTAATGTCCATTTACGTCCGATACGATCGACGAAAAATGGATTTAGAAAGAATCCTATTGATAGGCCTATTAAGTTGATTGACGCTATCCATGAACTTTGATTATAGGTGATTTTTATTTTTGATTCTTCACTCTCGAGATATGGTATTGCTGGTGAACTCCATGATATCAATGCACCATAGCCAGTTACTGTTATGCAACCTGTAAAATTTGTAAAAACAATTTGTAGAAATTTTGTATAAAAGTTAGTTAACATTTAGTAAATAGTTTGTACAAAATTTAGTGAAACGTTTCAATTATAATTAACAAATATTTTAATTTACAAAATTTGGTAAAAGATATGTATAAAGTTTAGTAAAAAAATCTTTGGTTTGCCTGTAAATAAAAAGGAATTTGATATTTAATTTTTTATCTACAAAATAAAAATACAGATATCTTTTAAAAACACTTTCTCCTTCAAAAAGATACTATTCTTTTTTTATTAAAAAAGTTTACTATTGATCTTTACATTGTACAAAGACTCACTGGACTCACAGTTCGAATCTAAAATATTTGAAGAAACTGTTTAATTTTAGATTTTATAATTTAGCGTCGACGCTAAGCGTAGAAAATAATATGTTTTTCTTTAATAAAAACCCAGAAAAAATACACTTTTGCAATAACTATAGTTTCAATAGTGCTCTGAAAAATTTTTACACTTAAAGTGAATGAAAAGAGTGATATTAGTGACATTTTTATGGCAAAAAATCCCAAAAATAGTTTTTGACGCTAAGCATCGACGCCAACTTCAAGAACTTTTAAATTACTGAATAAAAAAATGTTCATTGTGACACTAAATAAATCCAAATATTCTTTAATGCATTAATATCCAAAACAAAACTTCACAAATATTCTTAATTAAGGTCCCTGAAATTAGCGTCTAATCTCAGCGTCAGAAACTATTTAAAAAAAATTTTTAATGATGACAATATTACAAACCTATATATCTACGTTAACTTTCATACATTCACCTAGAATTCCAAAATATTTTATTGCGCTGTTTAAATCTAATTTTTTTTTTTAGAATTCTTTAATTTTCGAATTTTTTAAGTTAACGTCAAGCTAAGAGTAAAAATATTTTTTTATCGCAAAACCGAAAAAGGACAATATTTCAAAAGTTTTAGGTTCAATAATTGTGCTATGAAAATTTTTTACACTTTAAGTGAATGAAAACAGTATTGATATTAGTGATATTTTTATGGATAAAAAAAATATTTTTCGACGCTAAACATCGACACTAAATTCGGATATTTTTTACTACATGAATTGCCAAAAGAGAAATTCAGAAATATTCAAAAGTAACTTCCCTGAATTTAGCGTCGACGCCAAAATAAAAATTCGTAAATATTCGAATTTAATGTCTCTGAATTTTAGTTTTGACGCTAAAATTATGTAGTTTTTTCCAAATAATATTCATATTTGATTTTTGGCTTTTAATAAATAAGTAAATGAATATAATAATGTCCTTTTACAAAACATACCTGTTATTGCGGCGGCATATTGCAGAAGAAAGAATGTTTTTGGTTTGTTTGACATTTTTAGAAAAAAAGTACTCGTTCGAATGTTTTTTGGTATTTTATTTTTATAGAATTAAAATAAATTGATTCTCCTCTTAGTAGTAAATTGATAACAAGATTTCGAATTATTCTTAAAAGCAAAAAAAAATTTTTCTTTTTGCAATCAATCTAAACGAACTTTTTTGTGTAAGAGAAATAAATTTTTGAGACATCCTCAATTTAACAGATGCATAATTTGACTGAAACACATCAAGGTATATTGACTTTTCTTTCCGATAATTGTCATTATGAAAAATTATTACTATAATCACATTTTAATGACAGAATATACAGATGTTAGGAAGGAACGTGTAAATGATCATGTACGAAAAATTATAATACCATTTTGAACAGAACCAATCAACGAGTTTCCACCGGGTCGCTTACTTGTGTGGCGTGACGTGAAGTAAGTCTGATTGTGAGAGTTAGAGTGGAGAGTTAAACTGTCACTCTCACTGACCCCACTCTTGACATTGGTTCTGTTCAAAATGGCATTACAATTTTTCGTACATGATCATTTACACGTTCCTTCATAACATCTGTATATTCTCTGTCATTAAAATGTGATTAGTAATAACTTTTCATAGGGTAAGTCCGGGGGAGATGCGAGATGGCCAGTTGAAATATTTTACAGAATTTGTTAATAAACATCACTTATTATGAGTTATTCTTCAACCTTTTGTGACTACTAATAAATGTAAACAACAAATTGTTGAAAAATAATGAAAATGTAAGCGTAATTAATGACTTTTATTTAAAATTTTTTATGTTAATGTTAGATACTTAAGAAATATTAAAGAAAAACAATTTAAAAATGTCCGAGAACAAAATAATTGATCTAATTGACATTAGAGATGGAGATATATTTGTAGGTTGAGTCGAAAGTTACAATCAAACGACATTGATTGAAGATTGGATTTGAAATTTTTGGTTACATAAAATTAATTAAAAATTAAATTAAAAATTAAATTAAAAATTATAGGTATGTTATTCTCAACTTAATTTTTTATTATTTTAACCCTTAAACCGCACCCTGGGTGTGCGACACCCATATTCTAGCTTTTTACTCTAATATTTCGGTTAAATTCGTAAAAATTGAACATGTGTTGATATTGGAACATTTTGTACTTAAATTTATGTTTCTTGAGTGACATTAGTCTGCCAAGTGTCTTTGTGTATTTGATAACTCTATGAAGTTGTCAGAAAAAAATTTCTGCTTATCTGACGCCCAGTTTTTGGTTTTAGGTAATTTCAGTAGTTTTAAAAAACTCTTTTTTAATTATTAAAATTAAATAAATCATTATGAAGCCTATTTTCCTTCAAAATAGATGTACTGAGCTATATAAGATAATTTTTCCAAAAGATAATGTCCTATTCCAGCTTGGAAAACAAACTTAAAAGTCCCCGGGTGTCGCACACCCAGTGTGCGGTTTAAGGGTTAATTAAGTAAACTATTTAAAAAAATTTTTTAATTTTTTTTTTAATTTAAAATTTTGATATTTTATTTTAATTTATTCGTTCTAAATTCTTTATTATTTCAATTCTCATTTATTTTAGTTATGACTCCAAAAAAAAAAATATATATACACTCCCGCTCAATAACTTTTGCCCACCCTACAGCGATTGAAGGTTTTACAAAAAGTTTTGTATTTTGCTTATTATTAAAGATAAAAAGCTCAAAAAGGTCTCTTTTTAAAGCTCTTTTCCTGAGTTTTAACACTGTATAAAACAAAAATTTAAAAAATTAATTTGTTAATGTTTAAAAAATGTTATTGCAACATAAAATTTTTCGTTTTTTTTCGTTTTTTTTAAAGTGATACAGTTTCATAGGAAATGGTCGCACTTTAATCAAACACATATTTTCTGAAAGCTAGTTTTATCACCTTTAAAATGCATTTTTTAAAATTTTTATACGATAATTTTTAAGAAAAATATAATTTTTTGTTTAAAAAATTAGCCATTTTTTTCAATTGTTGATAATTCAAAAACGGTTACTTTAGGAAAAAATTTTTAAGAACATAAATTGTTCCTTTTTGTGTGCAGAATTAGAAAAAAAATATTAAAAATTTTTTTTTGAAAAATTTTTTTTTTAATTTTTTTGAAAAAAATTTTTTTTTTTATTTTTTATATTTTTATGTTTTAATTAATTGGTATTCAGCCAATTTCATTAAAAAATAATTATTTTTTTATTGTTATTTTATAATTGTTTATATTTCTTTTGTTATAAGTAATATGGATTAAAAACAAATAATTTGTTAAGTAATAGTTACAGAAAAATTCTTAAATAAAAAAATTTTAAAAATGTTATTTTCGACAATTTTTTTTTATTTTTAAAATACTAATAATTTTGTAATTTCTGGTCGAATCAAGTTAAAAATAGGTCAATCGAAGCGTTTTTTAATGCTCTACAAGTTGGAAATGATACTTTAAAAGTTACTTTTACATTTTTCAACAAAATTTTTAAAAAAGTCTTATTTTCCAAAAATTTAGATTTTTAAAAGTTTAATATCTACGGATAATATGGACGAAAAATGTTTAGTGATGGCTCAAAAGATGCATCTGAAAAAACTCTACAAAACTAAAGAAAAAAATTTATAGGTGTCCTAACGTTTTTTTAAAGTTATGGTCAAAAAACGTTTTTTTGAAAAATTCAAAATTCAAAAAAAAATTAGTTAAACTTCATGAATCGGGCTGAAAATACTCTCATTTTATGTCCCCTGGGGAGACCTACAATTTAAAAAAAAATTGAGGCCTTTAGCTCTTTCTCGTTCTGAGATAATGAGGCAAATGTAATGTTAGTACACACACACACACACACACACACACATCGGGACAAATTTTTAAAATCCGTTTTTTGGACTTCGGAGGTCAAAATACGTCGAAATTTTTTTTTATTTATTTAGAACATTTATACGGGGAGTTCCTGTGCATATATAAAGTACTAAAGTGTTAGGCATATTAAAAAAAATTTAAAAATAATGTCAAAAAATGACAATCCAAAATTTTGCTAATACAAAGCTTCCTTCATGAGGAAGCAATTTAAAAAATATATAAATTTCAAAAAAATATAATTAATCTAACATTTATTCATAAATAATAAAAAGGTTATAATAATATCTTACCAAAAAAATTAATAAATAGACATTCGTCAGCAAAAAATAAAAATAAATTCACCCATCAAACGTCAGAGAAAAAATAGAGTTTGTAGTCATAACTAAAATAAATGAGAATCAAAATTATAATAAAGAATTTAGATTACATTTAAAATAATTTTTTTGGTTGACGAATGCTAATTTAAATTTTTTGATTGACAAATGTTAAGTATATATACATATATATTTTGTATATTATTTTATTTTTTTGTACATTATTTTATTTTTTGTATATTAATTTATATTTTTTTGTATGTTATTTGCATATTATTTTTCTTTTTTGTTGTATATTATTTATTTTTTTGTATATTATTCTATATTTTTTGTATATTATTTTATATTTTTACAGACTCCCTGAAGAGGAAATCATTTAGATTTCGAAACGTTGGAGTAAATTAATTTTTAAAAACTATCTGTCCGAATGTTTTCGTTTTATTCTCCTTCACTATAACAATAATAATAAATTTAGAAAAAGAAAAAACGATAATTGAACGAAAAATATCTGCAAATTTCGAAAATGCTTATTGGACAATTTTGTCATTAAAAAATAAATTTACATTCAGTTTGTTAACAATTGAAATTTAAAATCTTTGAATTTAATATGTATTAAAAAATAATTCACAAATAAAACATCTTACTAAATTGACATTTAATTTTTTAATAAAATTAAAGTTTAGTTCAAGTTAATAAGAATTTAAATAATAAATAATTAATCAAACTTTAAAAATAAAAATTTAATAAAAATCTCCATTTTTACGATTTTTTGAAAAATTTCTATCAACTAATAACTCATTTTTTAAAAGGAATAAATAAATAAATTGAATTTTTAAATATATTTTTTTAAAAATTGTCATTTTCTCACCGTGAAAATATATTTGAATTGATATTGCAAAAAAAATTGTTTTAAAAAAATGAAAACAATTTTTTATTTCGCTGAGTAACTACCGAAGAAAACAACAATTTATAAAAAAGAAAATATCATTTGAAAATTAAAGAAAAAACTACTTTATTGACAAGTAACAGAGAAGAAAACAAAGTGATTATAAAAGAAAAGGTCAGAAAGTTTTTGGAATTACTACTGTCACTTATGTTTTGAGATTTTTTATTAAAAAAAAAAAATTTACGCCCTTAACGTTTTTTTAAATAATTTCGCTGTGAACATTTTTTAATATTTAAAAAATTGATTACAAAAAAATTTTGATAAACATTTTGTTTTCCTGATTTCGGGCAAAACATGTAATAGAAGAAATAACTTTAAAAAAATATTTGTCAGACAAAGAAGTATAATTTCAAAATGAAATTGTTCCTAAAGAAGAAAAATGTTAAATATCCTAAAAATAATTTGTTTTTACCCTTAATTTTCGCTACTAATAAAAAACTAATTTTCCAAAATAACAATACAATTAACGAAACGGAAAAACTGCAAAAATTCGATAACATTCTAAAAGCAGTTAATTTCAACATTTATCAAATTTTCCTAATTGTCGACGTTTATAATGAAGAAAATGTATTTTCCCTTGTGAAGAATATTCAACAAAAAATTTACCAAATTTTCAATTGGATACCAAAAAATTCACTGACAAGAATGTTGAAGAATTTTATAATTACGATCCATTCGCAAATTTACGGGACACAACATTATTTCTGATGATAAACGACGAGAAGGATTTTACAAATATCGAGAAATCAATGATGCAAATTGTCCATTTGTCACGAGCACAAATTCGACCAAGATGTTTAATTATTCGCTTCTCGAAAGTGCGTGATGAGGAGAAATTTCTCCGTAAAATGTGGATGAAGGAATATTTTCTCGACGTCACTGTAATTCAGATGGTTGCCAATCAAATAAGAATTCATCAATTAAATCCGTTTTTTGGCTATAAAAATGTTGCTTACAATCGGAAATCGATTTTATTTCCGGATAAATTGCAAAATATGAATCGTTATCCACTGAAAATTGGTTTATTTCAAATTCCACCGTTGGCATACGTAAAGAGGAATTCGACCCATCATCCAGTG